CGAAACTACTGATTTTAGACCGACAAATAAGTGTTATCCAAAGTGCAGATTTAATGTGCTTGATTGTAAAGTGTGTAGTAGTTCGACAACTTGTCAAGAGTGTGAACCCGGCTTTTTATTAATAAGTGGACAATGCCAGACGTGTCAGTACTATGGAGAGTGCTACCAATGTGATATTAATAAATGCACGGCGTGTAGTGCTAATTACAAATACGATGCTGAAAAAATGAAGTGTGGATTTTGTGAGTTGGAGTTAGGGTATTATATTGATGGAAATGACTGTAATAAGTGTAATGAGAATTGTACATTATGTACAAGTGCTACAGTTTGTACTGAATGTAAAGATGGGTTTTACTTGAAAGATAACACATGTTTGCCATGCACATTAATTGGCTGTTTTAAATGCACTAAATTTGAATGTCTGGAATGCCAAACGGGGTTTTATCTCAACGACAACAAGTTGTGTAGTTTATGCTCTGAGTTTGGGAATTGCATTGAATGTACAATTGAAGGGTGTACTACTTGTTTAGATCATATGTATTACAACACAACAACGAGATTGTGCGACAATTGTGTTGAAGGGTGTGATGTATGTGACAACTCGTTTTCATGTAACACCTGTCATAACACATATTACCATTACAAAGAAGATGAAATGAAGTGTGCCACGTGTCCAATAGATAATGGAGACTACCTTAAAGGAATGAATTGCAAAAATTGCATCAAAAATTGTTTAAGTTGTACCGAAAGTGACAATTGTCAATTCTGTGAAAACACTTTTTATTCAGATATTATTGAAAACACCACAACAAATGTTTGTGTGGAATGCACAGAACTTGATTCAAAGTGCTTGTTGTGTTCAAATGAAAAGCAGTGCACAACGTGTTTCCTATCATATGGTGTCTTTTCTGGTCGATGTCACAAGTGTTCAGAAGAGTATTTTGATTGTGAAGAGTGTAATGATACAGTGTGTTTACAATGCGGAGACATCACTTATCTCGACAATGGAAAATGCATGGAATGTGGGTACAAATACGCCAATTGTGCGACATGTAACGAGACTGAATGTCTCAGTTGCATAACTGATTTTAGTTTGTATGAAGAAAAGTGTGTTGATTGTGTTGGGTTATTTGGGATGTGTGACTCGTGTTCAAGTGACGAGTGTTTGCATTGTAAAGAAGGTGCATCTCAGGTTGGGTACAGTTGTTATAACTGTAGTGAATATAACACAAATTGTGTTGAATGTGACAGTTCAACGTGTTTGAGATGTAAAATGCCATTCACTTTAAATGGAGAGAACTGTTTCGATTGTTCTGATTTTGAGAATTGTGAAATTTGCAACAGCACTCACTGTATCGCCTGTAAAAATGGGTTTGTTAATTTGGGAGACAATTGTGCCATTTGTGGAGATATTCCCAATTGCTCTGAATGTGACCAAACATCATGTATATCATGCAATTCAAAGTTCTTTTTGAATAACAAAACATGTGAAAAATGTATGGAGAATTGTGATGTTTGCAACACCAAAGAGAGTTGTTCTGTTTGTTCCACAAATTATACATACAATGAAACATCACACAGTTGTGTCATTTGTTCTAGTGAAAATTATGAACAACAAGAGTATTGCAGACCATGTCCAAGTGAATGTACAACATGCGACTCTGCTACCCAATGCACAAGTTGCGTTGATGGGTATTTTGTCAACACTGAAAATAATTGTGTAAGTTGTCTCACAAGAAATTGTATGTCGTGCGACTCGAATGTGTGTACATCATGCATCAACGGGTATTATATAAACAACGGAGTTTGTGAAGAGTGCTGGACAATTGATAAGAAATGCACAACATGCAGTTCTACTGACATCTCACCACATTGTGATTCGTGTGAAAATGGGTATTGGGTTGATGACAACAAGTGTGTGACATGCGAAGGGTGTGGCTCACTTGGGTGTGAGTACATGAGTGGGCTATGTTATAACTGCCCAAATCAGAGTCAAGTTTTGGTGTCGGGAAAGTGTGTGACTGTAGAAGGATGCAAAGTTGTAGAAAACAATGAATGTGTTGTTTGTGACAATTTGTATGTTAAAATAGGGAGAAGGTGCATTAAGACGCAAACGGAGACAACTGAAAATGTGATCAAATATCGAGATTATTATGTCAGTTCTATTGATGTTAATTGCACTACTTTTACAACCAAGGGATGTGATATTTGTGAAGAAGGATATTACCACCATGAAAGTGTGTGTATGAGATGTGAAGAAATCTATGACAATTGTGAAAAATGTGGTGTTGTAACTTTGAACAACTTTAATCAAACGATCTGTTCTATTTGTAAACCATCATATTATCCAGAAATATCATGTAATGAGTGCACGTTGATAAATGGGTGTTCTGAATGCATCAATTATCTCACAAACAACGAGACTTCAACAAGAAGGTGTACAAAGTATATGGACATGTTTATCAACAACGCAGGCCAATGTGTGAAAATAGCGAAGTGCCTCCAAGGAGTCGGAGAGCGGTGCACATTATGTGAAAAGAACTACTTGGTGTCTGAAGGTCGATGCAAGCCATGTGGTGATGTTGTTATTGGTTGTAAGACAAGTACCAAAAATGAATGCACTTCGTGTGTGGAAGGACATTATATCGACTCAAACAAGCAATGCAGCAAATGCTCAGTGAATAACTGCTTTGTGTATGCTCAAGATGGAAGTTGTGATACCTGTGTAACCAACACAACGAAAAACACCGACTCTTCTAAATGCTTGTCATGTTCCACGTTGAAAGGATGTAAATTCTATGATAACACAATCCCCAATAAATGTTTGTTGTGTGCCCAAAATTACCTTACAAAGAATGAGTTGTGTGAGTCATGTTCAACTCTTAACAAATGTCTAAGTTGCTCAAATGAACTCACGTGCCTGCATTGTGTTGATGGATATTATCCAGACGAAGGAAAATGCAAGTCGTGCCTCACAATAAATGGCTGTAAAACATGTTCGTCAACATCAAAGAAATGTCACACCTGCAAAGATGGGTATTACCTCGACAACGAGTGTAAATTATGTGGTGAAGTTTTCAGTAACTCTGCCACGTGTACAATGAAAAAAGTTTTTTCTTGTTAGCCACATTACTTTTTGAAGAACAATCGATGTGTTGGGTGTGATGCACTATTTGGTTGTTCAGAGTGTGAAAATGAAACAACGTGCACAAAATGCAACGATGGACTCAATTTGTACAACAATGGAATAACTCAAATGTGTTCTCAAGATTGTGACATTACAAAGTGTGTTAAATGTGATATTAATGGAATGTGTGAAATGTGTGAAGAGCCATACACTCTTGACAAAACAACCAATAAATGCAAACTGTGCTTTGATGAACACCAAAACAGTGGCAAATGCTCAACAACAGAAAATTTGATTGAAGTTTGTGAGTCAAAAAGATTTTATTTGGAAGACGGTGTGTGTCAAAAATGTGACACTACATTGAGTGACTGCCAGTTGTGCGACAATTCAACAACTTGTATATTGTGTTCCACTGGATTTGTGTTGGATGTAAACAACAAATGTGTTGCAAAAACAACTTCGATGAGCATTAAAAGAGCAACAAACTGCGAATCCAATCGACAGATATTGGATACTGAAAGGAAATTGTGTTGACATTTTAGCAGATGAGT